ATGTTGATGGTTCTGAGCCAGGGCGCCAGGCGATACCACATTACCCCAGGGCGACGTCTTTCCTGGGTCAATGTTGACCACTGAAACGATTCCTGTCGCACGGGTTTCGAAAGTGACTCCTCCTGCCTGGTCGAACTTGTACGCAAATATATATTCGTAGTTGGCGAGGGTAATGATGAACTGAACCACAAGCTCACGATATCGAGTAACAACGGCCTGGCTTGTCCGGAAGTTTGTATGTTTCCATCCGATGCCATTATCTTGTTCGTGGACGCACACGACATTCTTAGCCACGGAAGGACGGCCTGACGCGTCGACGTTGAAACTATCCAAGTACTTTATAACACCCAGGCAATCGCAGCCCAAAGCTAGATTATTTGCAGATCGTCCGGCGCCTCCATCGCCAAAATCAAAAGCTTGCTTTCGTTGAAATGGTGGCCGGGGATCACCATAAGGAACCGTCATTTCGGATATGCTGAGGCGGTGGAGAATGCTGCGTCCATCATAATGAACGTCATGGATGGTTGCGCCTTCACGAGGGTTAAATCCGACACGGAATCTCCATTTCTGCCATTCGATAAGATTATCATTACTCACGGAGAAGGAAGGCCCTTCGGGTTGAAGCACATTAAGTGGCTTCACATCCGTTCGTAGTTTTATGCCTAAAAGTTCGGGGACATACTCAGACGCTCTAGTGTGGTCCAGTATATTTGGAGAGTTAGTATCATAGGCTAGGCCATCACCGGAACCTCCAGTTGCGAGTTTGTCAATCCTAATGATTTCTCGCTTATAAAAATCCATCACTGGGATGATTGGAATCGGATAGCCATAATGGTTGGAATCGGGATTTCCATTTCGTGTGTCCTTCGCGAAACACAAGCCCTGCATATAGCGAATTGTGGGCTCGCCAGGGTCGAGCCCACCATATGGCCATGGATCAATTTCAAGAACAAAGCCATCGGGTAATATAAATTTAGAAATGGCTTCTTGGAACAATGAGGACTCCATGCAGGCCTTGTTGAATGCTCCAAATTCCTCCCTATAAACTGTTAACCGCATAGAACATGTGTTTCACGAGAAGATAGCGGATAATAAATATTTCTGCTCAGGGATGAAGCTTACAGGGTGATTGAAGGCTGCTGCGAATTATCAAATGCTTGCCGAGATATTTCTTTCTTCAGACCCAAGTCCACAACAGACTCAACATAGTCATGGGCCTTATCTGTCTGCACAGTATCATAGTGAACATTTGCCAATCTTGGTGGACGAGAAGTAGATGGAGAAAGTGATCCGCTATGCTCCGCTGCCAGGAAACTTGTCAAGACCACCTTGGACGGCTCTTTAAGAAATATTGATCGAAATTGAATAACAACACCGGGATTAGCCTTGATGATGACCCCCCGTGCACAGTCAATTTCTGCTGCTTGCAGCTGTTCGAGTGGATGTGGTAACATCATGGAATATTACAGGGGAGTAATAACAAAGAGAAGAGCCTGAAGGTCACCAAAACGTGTTAAGTGAAAGGTAGGTTATGCAGTAGGGATGCCTTAAAAACAGACAGAGGTTCTAAGACGATAAATCTTCATGCACCCTTGCTGCGGATTTGTAGTTAGGTATAGTTAGTTAAAGAAAGGGAATCAAGAGAAATATATATAGAACAACAATAAGCAAACCCACGCAGTGGGCTTAACCGTGCAGCGGAAACAATGACAAAACGCGGGGCTGAGCGTTTGGGAGGTTGGATTTAAATATTGCTCACTCGCAGCCACAAAAGTTTACCGCTGACCATCTTCGGGTTGTAGGCCGGCAAGTTTGTCTGCGGCTGCCCAACAATCAAGTTTCTCCGATCAGATCAGCTGATCTGATCGGGAGAGAGACACGGCTTGAAGAGCTTCAAAGCATCAGCTGGTATATCTATTTCAAGGAAAATGCAGGAAATGACTTTAAATTGTCTTGGTTGGTAGAATGTACGGAGCAGCTGTTTTACGTTGAGCGATTATTATTTTAACTACTATTGAAGAAAGTTAACGTTTAAAAGGTTCAGAGTCCGGCGGGAAGAAGCCGCACGCGGGGTTTGACTTTCGAGGTTATTCTTGGCTGCCTGAGGCAAGGAAATGCTGACTAATAATAGTTAACCTTTGACTTTTACGACCAAAATGCGACCGTTGGGGCATGATGGATAAGTTGACACCCATCCTCAACCCTAGAAATGAATAATTTCGAGTTCCAGCAATGATAAAAGCGATGTGAATATTGTGAGACATATGCACTCTTTGTTGCAAATCCCATTACCTGAATGTTAGTTATCAATTGAAACACATCTCCACGCGATTCCGTTCCTTTACACCAGGTTCAATCTTGATATCCTACAGAACAGCATCAACATGATATTTCAATTGCGTGGACATCTAGACGCGGATTTACTAGGGCTATGGCGTCCTCATAAATACAGTACATGCAGCTGATAGGTGGCCCGACGTGCTCTTGGACGAACCCAGTTGGAACCACCGTGTGGGCGACCCATGACATGGATCTCCTTTCGACAATTCCCGATTTCCCCACGAAGTCCTATTCCCATATATTACCTTCCCTTGAAAAGGCAAGTGTTTCAGTCAAGGATTTGGTCTTGTTTGACCCCCTAGAAATTGCCAAGCAAGCAAAGGTGGCCGTGACGGATGTGCGTGCCCTCGCCGGAAATGTGATCACCACTCTACATCACGATCTTGGGCTAGTTAGCAATCAGGAGCCTGGAAACGGGGCATCCGGAAACATAGATATTGGTGGCCGCAGAGGGTTGGAGACTTATAGGGATTCAAATCCGAGACAGTGCCAAAAATTTCCGGAGCTTTCATTCATCAGCACGTTGGACCCCGTTCTGGATGCAGCTCTGGCAGGTGGCATTTCAACGGGTTATGTTACCGAGTTTGCAGGGGAGAGGTAGGACTGCTACAGTTACACGCATTATATCACGTTAGTGAACGAGTACTAACATTGTGTGTCAACTGCAGTGGGAGTGGTAAAACCCAGTTCCTTCTCCATCTACTCCTCTCCGTCCAGTTACCGCCCCCGTATGGGACGTCTCGGAAGGCACTTTACTTTTCCACTGAATCAGACCTTCCTACAGGAAGACTATCACAGCTTCTTGAGGACCATCCTCTACTTTCTACTCTCCCGGAAGCATCTGCCCGCCCATCCTTGGAAAATATCCTGTCCATAACCACGATTGATCTTGAAACTCAAGATCACATTCTAAATTATCAAATTCCAGTTGCGGTGTCACGGTACAATATCGGCCTTGTGGTGATCGATTCCATAACAGCAAACTATCGTGCAGAGAGTGATTCAGATAACGTATCAGGCCTACTGGCTCGAGCATGGCAGCTCAAAAAGCTTGGCCGATTTTTAAGGAACTTGGCCGCTAAAGAGAATATCGCCATTGTTGTTGCGAACCAAGTATCAGATCAGATTCAGATGGATGACGTTATATGGGCAGACGAACCTGAACCACCCACCAGCGGTTACATGGAGGACCTCCCCTCTCAAAGATCATCCCAGCAAACATCTTCTCTTCCAGCAGAGCGCATGGCAGATGTTTCCGATGTTCCCCGGTCATCCCCACCTAATCAACTGTGTCTTTTATCATCTCCTGTTCCCTCACCCGTGGCCGAGGCGGGAGGGGATGATTTATCTCTCAGTGTTCTTGATCTTTCCGAACTCTTAAAGCTTGACTACCAGCGACCTTTTTTCACTGGCTGGGGCGACTCACATGCAACTACTCTAGATTCCATGTGCTCTGATTTACTTCCCGAGTGGAAAACACCGGCTCTCGGCATTGTTTGGACAAACCAGATCGATTGTCGAGTTGTCCTCAAGATAAAGAACGTCCGAATTTCCGTCCAAGACACAAAATTTAGCTGTCAAAGAATTGATTCAGGCATTTTACCTTCTGTACCCTCCTCATACGCGATTGTTGACGAACTTGTCTCTGACCACCATGCAGGAGAACAACCGCATACACCTTTGAATCCTAAACTTGATCAAAATAACACCTCTTGGATTCACACAGCTGATGAGGGAACCGGGCCCGAAATAGAGAAGGCTCTCAAAGAACAACACCCGAAAGTTCATCTAAAGACTGCCGTTAAAGTTGCTAGCGATCCTGATTCTCTCACCACCCCAATACACCGGAAACGGCGAACAATTCAAGTCGTGTTCTCGCCGTGGACCTCTGGGGATCCACATCAAACCCTAAATCATGATAAAACAGGAATTAACATGGTTGAATTTGATCCAACCGTTGACGAAGTCGGGTTCGAAATATACCCAAGCGGAATACGAGGCATTATCCTAGGCGAGGATGATTGAACATCAGCATTCTCCTACGTAAATAAGACATTACGATTATGTCGATATTCATGTCCTCGTTTCGGATGAGTAACACGGCCTCTGTCATTCGAGTTACGATAGACGCGAGGGACTAGACGCGAGGGACTGGTTGTCGATATTTTGAAGTTCGGATGGACATTTCCATGACGAAACCTTGACAACCGACAATGATCTGGTATCAGATCAGAAATAACCTCTCAACATGCATTCGACAGGTTATATCCATAGTAGTTGCTTTAACTCTGTTGGTAAAGATTATGATATAATTGGCGGGCTAGATTGCCAGCACTGTTGTTCCCCGGACTCTATTCATTTTCTCTGGTTAGACAAGATACATGATTCCGGTTCACTAGTGCGGGGAACCCTTTTGCAGTTCCTTTTTCAACATGATTGGTCCCAATAAATTTCCTGTTTCATTATTTGCTTATATCTTGAATATGACCAAAATTTCTCACTCATCTATTTTTGTCCTGTATGTGTTGGGCATAATGTTTGATTGACCATTATTTGTTCTCTTTTACATTTCTTATTTGTTTATCCTAATCAGTCTAGGGGGGTTTGCAAATTCAGGATTTGTCCATTGAAGCCTTCTGGGAAATAAGCTCTCTGCCTGAATGGCACCATCTAAAAAGTTCTCCCTGTTGCCTATACGGTTGGGTGGTTAGTTATGTGCACTCCCAATAGAGATAATAGCTGAGCAACTCATACTCGACGTGGCTCAAGAGAAACCTATCCAGCTACCAAGAGACGACAATGTCTACGAACTGGGAGAAATTGGCAGCCACAATGTTGTTATAGCCTGCATGCCATTGAATGCTGATGGCAAAGCTTCTACAGCCGTGGCGGTTGTGGTTGTGAAAGTGCAGTTGACCTTTGCCTCAGTTACCTTTGTTCTTGAGATCGGTGTTGAAAGAGAAGTTCCAAGTCAGTTTGTCGATATACGGCTAGGGGATATACTAGTCAGTTGACCTACCAATGGATTGACAAGAGAATTACGATGCTGTTATGGAAAAGCGGAGGATGACGAAGGATATGTTGACGGAGTGGATAACTCGCGACACATGCTCTTGAATCGGTCCACTGCTCAAATTCAGAAAGCCTTCGTAACTTATATGGGTTATTATCAACGGGCACGTTGATTACAAATTGGATAATACCCGACACTGTCATGATAATTGCCAGGTTTCCAATGCAGCATGTCATCGTCTAGTCACAATGAAACGATGTTCTGAGGAGGACAGTGACCGTTTCTGACTCAGCTCTCACAATCTCGCAACATCTGACGTGTTTATTCCAACCTAACTGTTCTGGGGAACTAAACAATGGAACACGGCCAGTCAGTATGTATTCTGCGTAAATCACTCTGGGTTCTCTCCTTTGAAATGGAGCAGACTGGTGTGGTGAGCAATCTACCGTGTTTGACTCTTTGAGGCATCTGCGGCTTTGAGGGCTCCCATGAAACCGAAGAATACAAGAGTATTCTGGCTATTACGGCATCTACGTATGTCCAGGAACTTTTCACCTTAGTTCCCATGTGTGAGTCACGAAAGTCGGTAGGTTTGACGCCAGACCCCTGAATAAAACTGTAAATAGAGGAGACTAAGAAAACTCCACAGCCATTCAGTAGAAAATAGCTAATTCGTTCTATTGATGCCTAGATAGTTATCGTATTCCATCCTATTCCATTTAGTCTCCAAGGCGCAACCGTCTCAAAACCCTTGTCGATCGACCGGAAATGGCCAGATTAGAAAGCATTCTTGTACCATAGAGAGAACAAGAGATTGTCAAGAAATAGTTATGATCTGTGGAAGTGGTTGGATTAGACAAGTTCTGTCTTCCTGCTGAGTTTGCCAAACGACATCGCTCAAAATTCAGCTCTGCCCTATGGATCGATGTCCTCAGCGCTTACATTCCTAGGAAGAACTTTGATGATTGTGTAAGAGGAATTTGAAATATGCCAAGTGCAGAAATAAGATGTCAAATCCATCATGGGAAAAGGGCCAAATTGACCTAGCTGTTACGAACGTGATGGAATGGCTTGAACACCAGTCAACGCCAACTGGCTGTTTATTGTTGACAAAGTTGAGGATCATTCTATGGGGGGGGGTAGCTACGATTTTGAAAATTACTACCAGATGCAGATTACGGGTCGGTTTTGATCACAAAACGCAGTAATAATTTCAAGTTGCCTGAAGTCCTGCTGCTTATGTTGACGCAAGCAAATACAATCCAAGATCGAGAGATATTTCAAACCTACTAGTTGTGGAAAGCCCGTTAGTAAGTCTTCCTGGGTACTTCAAATCCCAAAAAGAATGCTAGCTAATATCATCAATGCGGGAGCTATTGAAATTGCTCAATGGGCAACCACTTGCTCTTATACAGGTGGCCGCCTATATGAAACAAACATCAACTTCGCCACTAACGTCATGCTGTTTCGAGACAGGAAAAAGTTCTTCTGACAGAAACACCTAAAGTTTATCATTCCGTTCCCGTCAGAACTTCCTGGGTGATGTCTTACAAATTAATCCACTCATTAACAAGGCAGCTCCAAATTTGCTCCTTCTATGGGCCTTTCTCGACTACCAGGATCTTTGGTATGGTCATTTGCACCCCGCCAGCCGAATTTCGGAGGCCGTGGCAGGATACCTTGCTAAGTGGCTAGATGGCCTTCCAATGAGTGAAATTAAGTTCCTTGAGGCGATCAAAATTTTACAAAGCTATGCTCTTATGGAAAATGTGGAAGGATTGACGGTCAATACTATTCATCTTGTTCTTCACAGATCGGGGTCCCTCGTTCAAGATGAATATCGAAGGGGGAACTGTGTAGAGCTTGCAGCGATCGCCGTTGTGATGGCTCTGCCAAATGACACGAAATTTTTTTAAGATCCTGTAGCAGCTGTTTTTTTTTATGCACAGTGTTGCTTTCAATGTTGCTGAATGGCAACGGACGTGACGAAATTAGTGTCAATCCCATAGACCCAAAAGCCACCAAACGAACAGAACGTCCCACCACTTTCTTAGAAGCGAGAGATCGTTTAGGCAATCTATTCCTCGACCAGGGAAAGTATTCAGAGGCGGAGGACATTTATCTGGGCTGGTAGCAGAAAAGAAGAAGACTCTAGATAACAACCATTACTCGACCTTGGATACCATAAAGTGGTTAGGCGTTCTCTACAGCCATCTTGAGAGGGTAAGTGAAGCTGAAGAGATGCTCTAAAAAGCAATCCACTCAAAGGATAGGCCTCTGGGCCCTAAGAATACATCTGGGGTGAGCACAATGCGCACCCTAGGCATCCTCTATATGAACCAGGGAATACTCCATAAGGCAGTTTACAGGCAGATCATCTCGTTGATTGTGAACATTTGGAAACAAAACATAGTCTAGGCCCAGTTCATGCATCGGGGGGAAGCTCTCAATTGCAGAAGACATTGTTCGACGAACTACTGGCAAGATATAAAAGTTATTTGGCCTCGAGCACGACCTCATCGCGGACGTGGTACGAGACTTAGGCATCCTATATCTGAGTCGTGACCAACTTGGAAAAGCAGAAGAGATATTTTACGGGCACTAGGAAGACCCAGAAAATAAAGGATGTCAACCACGTATTTACACTTAATGTTGCTCATCCCCTTGGGCTGCTCTGCAGGCGATGAGGAAAACTTCGTGATGTCATGGGGATGTTAGTGCAGTCACTAACTATATGGAAGGGAGGCATTGTTAGGCCCTGATCACCCCTCCACGATCTACGCTTCGCAGATTATAAATGCCTTGCTGAGGGATGAGATCTGCCATCCGTAGTTCGAGGGATATTTGATGGATTGTGCACTCAAGGATAACTGAATTGAGAAGCGTAACATATAAATTCCCCACTTGCGCGTAAAGTGAGATGAGAGTGGTATTTCATGCTGGGATTGAAATTGGGCGTCCGGAGCCGAGTTGGTTTCTTTTGACAAAGGGGCTTCTTTATATCGTGGACTTGCTACCTGACGCACGCCATTATATATGTCATGCCGTTTAACTCTACAGATGTTGTAGACCTACGCAATAGATATTCCGATTTCGTTTGTATTTCATAGCATTTCCTTTACTTCTATAAAAACTCATTATCTGTCCGGCACAGGCGCATATGCGTTGTCGACAGTCGCTATTTGCAACCAGGAACTTGTCAAAAACACGGATGTGGGGCGGCTATTTTAAAAACTCTTTATTCCGTTTTCAGGGGTTGTTGCCCAGCTGTATGCGCACCACATGAAATAAAGCCTGTTGCCCTCCTCGACCAAAAGCAGGTGGACTAACGGCGCTGTTCACTTTCGACAAAGTTTCAAACTCAAATGTAAATAAAATAGATAAAATGCGGGGAGCGGGAGCGGGGAATAACCGCAGGCAGACATTAGCTTATTTATTGTAGTTGCACGGATGCGCCGGATGTGGGGGTTAGTTAACTATCTCAGAAAAGCACGCCTGAAACAAACTCCGAAAACATGGACGCATAAAAACAGTCGATTCGCACGAGCGAAATGTAGAGACAAAAGATTTGGAAATAAAACAAAGCAAACAGTTTTCCTTAAGAGAGTCATTTTCCTCTTCTATTCCATGAAATTATAGCGAGGCCGCAAGACTTTTTTTAAAAGGAATAACGAAGCGGTCTCAGCTTCCCCGCACTGAGAGTTTCGTAGAAAGGGGCGGGGATGGATCGATGACCAAAGGTTCTTGTTAGAAAAGCTGACCACCTCTCATCTTCATCTCTGCAATATCCTTTGCATCTCTTAATCTCATCATCATCATCATCATCTTCTTCTTCTTCTTCATCTCTTTCTATTCTCGCTTATCCCACCCGCGGATGGGAGCCCAGCCATCCAGTGAACGGAGACAGTTTCTCGCATTGGACTGTCGTCATGTTGAGGAGGCAGAGAGGGAAGCCATAAACGTGTGACGGGATTGGTGAAAATCTGGGGTATGTTTCTTCCACCTTTTATTTACATGGTTGACGGTTTATCTTTATGAATCTGCCATACCATCATGCTCGTTTACCCTCTTATCCCATGGATGCGCTGGAGGATGGGAACTCAGCGGCTCCTAAACAGGGACCCGAAAAAGGGAAATCTCATGTAGGTTGACAACGTCAAAATTATTTTCTCCAGTATGGCAAGTCTATCTTTAACTTACGACCGTAGGAAGAAGAGAATGCACAGGATGAATTGGCCGAGTATTCTAGATCGCATTACCCCATTGTATCTTTTTCTAATCTGACTTTAAGAATATGATGGGACAACAGAAGTCATAAAAGAACAGAGTGCTGCAAAAACAAGACCCCGAAGCAAAAGAGTTGTCTAGCCAAGAATTGAAAGCAAAAAGCCGAAACTAGCAAAATTAATAAAGGACACTTTCGTTTCATACGACTAGCACCTAGAAAAAAAAAAGGGGGTGAAAAACAAAAATTGTATCAAACAAATAACAAATAATCGGAGCCTCAGCTCCGACAGATTGACCACCCGATACATGAAGAAACATATTTTCAAAAGAGGACACAACATAATAAAAACGGCCAGTTCAGTGACATCGTATCGCAAAACATCAAATCCTCTTGACTGGAAATAAGAGATAGAAATCCATTCATGTGAAAGGTTTCAGGGGGGAAAAAATATATACATGACTGGAAGAAAAAGCGGAAAGTTGGCAAAAGGGATTAGAAGAGAGAAAACACATGCGATATAGTGGTAATGAACACCAATGATGCCAGAGAATGGAGAGAAACAGATCGTCCAATATATGATGACAGGGTGTTAATCAAGGACAAAAAGAACAGCAACAAGAACGCAAAAAGAAAACAACTCCTGCGGGGTTTATATTCTTTGACAAGTTTCATCTTTCGGATCCTTACCTTTCTGTCAAGGAGGTTAGGATTGATCGATGCAGAATCATGTATACGGGAGAAGAGGAAAAGGAAAAAAGGAGAACAATTATCAACATACGAACAGTGAAAATTCCCACTCATTATTTTGTATGAAAACACCCTTCTTCGCTCTATTTTATCCGAAAAGCAAAGAGCAAAAAATCGACGAAGACTTGGGTATTTACTTCCTATTCTTTTGCGTTTCTGTGCCTGTTGTTCTCTAGGAAGATGGTTTCATAACAGAAGGCTTGATACCGATATTGTTCCGGTTTCGGAAGAAATATACATGTTTTCCTTCACCCTGTGCACCTTCGCATGGCTCGACCCACTGGCATGTTCTGGCACTCTTCCATAGGGACTTGATGAATCCTATGCTGCCTCCTTCGGTGTCCGAACGATAATGCTTGCCCATAACTGGCTTGATGGCCTCACTGGCTTCATCTGCGTGATAGAAGGGAATGGTGCTGACGTAGTGGTGGAGGACGTGGGTTTCGATGATGCCGTGGAAAAGAGTGCGACCAATAAAACCGAACTCACGGTCGATGGTGGCTGCCGCGCCGCGGGTAAAGGTCCACGCTTGTGAGGTATAATGCGGGAGGGTTGGGTCGGTGTGCTGCAGGTAGGTGATGGCAACTGCATGAGCTGTTAGCTGACTGTGCCAACAATAATTGAAGGAATGAACATCGACAAAAGAAAAGGGGAGGGGAGGTTCCACATACCCAGCCAGTGGTTGACCCACAAATACGGGAGAAAGTACCAGACCGCAAGGTTGGCCCAGCCGAACTTTGTCCCAACAAAGTACAAGACGGAGCCGGTGAGCATCAAACCAAGGTCGCTAAGAAGGATGAGTGGTACGTGTTTGTTCTCGTACAACGGGCTGGAAGGGTTGAAGTGGTTGACTCCGGTGAAGAAGCCATTCTTCTTCCCCTTACCTCGACCCTCAGGCTGGCGTTCATGGTTGTTGTGGCCCGTGACATTTGAGAGCAAATACATCGGCCACCCGAAAAGCTGCTGGAGAATGATGTGGGTAGCGGTTTGGATAGGAGTTTCCTCCATCAATTCGTGCAGCTCATGGGCAATATATCCGAATCGCGAGGCAAATACCTCTCTTGTCTTTGGAACAAAAACCATGTCCCGGTCCATGTTGCCGGTGGCTTTGTGATGTTTGCTGTGGGAGATCTTCCAGGAGAAGTATGGCACTAGCAGGGCGGAATGGCATATCCAGCCAACAGTATCGTTCAATATCTTTGACGGCGAGAAAGCCTGATGTCCGCACTCGTGGGCCATGACCCATAGACCTGTTCCAAAGAGGCCCTGGATAAAGGTATAGAAGCCCCACAGGCCGGCGCGGATTGGGGTGGAAGGGATGTATTCTGGGGTGACATAGTTGTGGAAAAGGTAGAAAGTTCCGGCCATGGAACCGATATCTCTCAGGACATACGAAAGACTGCGGAGACCGCTTCTCTTGAAACAATGGGCTGGGATGGCATCCCGGATATCCTTGATGGTGAAGTCTGGGATTTCAAAGGGGTTTCCGAAAGTGTCCACTAACTTGACGGGTTCTTGCTGGGCATCTGAAGACATCGACGACAAAGATGTCGAGGACGGGGAAGGACGCAAGCTGTCAATTGGGGAGACGCATGCGGAGCTCTCCGTCGAGGAATCTGTGGGTGCATTTCTGTTGAGCGCCATGCGCTTGGGGAGGGCGGTTGAAGTCATATTAACTTGTTTGCGTTTGGCGGGGGTTGAGAGGTATTGCAGGCAATGACGACAATAGGTAGATGTGCGGAAAAGAATTGTGTACAGCTATATATGAACACGGGTGAGCGAGCAATTTGCACCGATGTGGTTTGTTGTTGGGGATATAGTCCACAGGCCGCAACGACCTTCCTGCTGATATCTGGTCTAATCCTCTGCCCCTTTGGTTAGCACAACAACTCCTTGTCAACGTGTGGTTTTGCACTGCCAATTGAAGGGATCTAGGGACAACTCACAGAAGGGATTCAACTGGACTGAATCGACTTTCTTCCTATCTGGCCACAGGGTCCGTAGATAAAGAATGGCAAGAGAACTGCGGACTGCTTGTAGAGTTGAGAGAAGGCGGGTTGAAGATTTAGCCGAGAGGGGGAGAGAAGGGGAGGGAGGGGTGGTTGTTTGAGGAAAAGAAATTCGAATGAGAAATTCACAATACTGTGAGAGAAGAAAATGATGATGAGAAGGAAAAGAAGAAAAGAAATAAAGAGCAAGATTTTGTTTGTTCCATTTAATTTTCCAGACTTTTGGTCTTTTTTTTTTTTTCTTTTTTTCTTTTTTTTCTTTTCTTTTTGGGCTTTTTCGATATTTTTATTCACCTTTTTGCGGTGTATTTGCACCCTCTGGAACCGAATAACACGAAGTGGCCCCACCAAGACCGTGAGGCGCTGTATTGGTGCGGTATTGTAAGGGCACAACCGGTAATATTACACGCCTCCCATGCCTTAACCGCACCATATTATAGAGGAATCTTCAGATCTATCTCGACTATCATAACCAAACACACCAATCATCAACATGCTTCTGATTACTGCATTGCAGAGACGCCTCGGAGTGGGATGCCAGAGACACAGGCTTCCAATCATGCTCGGCTCCCGACTCTTCTCATCTGCAACTGGTGACTCGTGAAGGCGTTCTTAAATATCCAACCGGCCTAGGGAGAGGTGCATGATCCAGCTCGCCACGAGTTCAACTCAATGAACTGGAGCAAAAATTGAAGAAGCCTGCCCATGCGCGGACATGCAGCTGAAGAGAGCAGATGTCTCATTTTTAGGGCAAGCACTACAGCAGCGAGTCAGAAACGCGAACTCCTTCCGCCCACCACTCTGTGCAATTATATATCCGGGTGGCACACTGCTGCTACCTGCAAATGCAGCCCGCTCCTCTTGGACGCACACCTGACTCCCATGCCAGCACAGCTCACGCAGGCGTCCGGGAGAAAGAAATGAATGAGAAAATCCTCGCGAGAGTCCCGCATATATGCAGCCTGCATAAAAGTTTGTTTTGAGCAGTTGATCAAGATTACGTATTTTCTACCTGGCCTTAACTAATGTTGTTTAAAACGACCTTGGACAAGGAAAAAGGGTTTGGTGATTCGGACACGGCATCAATTGCAATTTCCAATGGGCGCTCGCTCAGCATGAGAGACTCTATATTATTAGTATATTATGTTAATTCTTGATTTTTGCTCTTGATATGAATATGGATAATATGTAGGTTTTCATGGTCTGAAGACGTTTCCATTAAAAGATCGTTACCAATACGACGGAATACAGTACAGTATCTTTTGATAAATTACAAAACGCCCAGGAACAAGTTTTGTTTCTAATGTTAATTTTGTTTAGGCCATACAGTATATTTTTGCCGCTACATTTCTGCAGGGTTTTAACCAAGGATTTTTATCTCTGCTCTTTAATTTTTTTATTTTTTATTTTTATTTTTTTTTTATTTTTTTTTTTGCCGAACCGAAATCAAAACCATCAGGCCACCCTTCATCCATCCATGGGTTGGAGCCATGCATTCCACAAGGCGAAGGCGGTGGGGGCAGGCAAATGGATTGGTCCCGCTGTCCCTGGTTTATCCAGTCTGCAGACACCCCAGCCAAACCCTTTCAAGGTCATCATGACAATACAAATGTATGTTACCACGTTGGACAGAGAAGTAATCCCCAAGCACGTAATCACCGATCATAGCTCCAATGTCATGCATATATCGGTTATCAGTAATCTTCGAAGCTTCTCCAGAAAGCGTCTTTGCGCCAGGATTACCCCTTGCTTCACCGCACATTACGGCAGCCAATCAGCGAGCTCCCAACACACCAAACCCAGACCCTGGTGCTTCGGAAGCTCTGTACTAACCAGAAACGGAAAGGTTGAGCCCCGCCAAGCGGTCCCTTACCTAGGCACAGGTACCGAAATACTGTTACAGAAGCATGCTCGGCACAAAATTAATTACATATGCCACCCAACCGATCGACAAGCCCCGGGCATCAGAGGGCAAATTGGAACCCGCCTGATTGGGCAGAGCGGCGAAACAAAAATTACCCGGCTTAAATACTCCGTTTTTGCAGCAGAATGCTGTTTTGTAAATCGGAGAGCCAAAGAGTGGGGGACGCGGTTCTGTCCGAGGGCTTATTGTGCCATGGACGGTCGGAACGGGGACATGCCGTCTTGTTCGGCATCATGTGATAGTGAGCTATAAATATTCAAGGCCGCCTCCTCCATCCTCCGTACAGACTCTCGCGGGCCCCGGGGGGGGTGTTTTGTTATCTGCTCTGCATCCTGACGGCGTCCCAAAAGGCAATCTGATCAAGCGGACCCCGATACGAGCAAAGAGTTCTAGAAATCTTTGCAGGACTCCATTCAGCCCCCCCCGGCAGCTACTCCGTGAGGGACCCCATGAGAGGAGGATGAGATACTCCGAATATGCCTTCGTTCTCATGAACGGAGGAAAAGCAAACAGACAACAGAAAAAACCAGTAACTAAACATTCTTGGTCTCCGAGCAAAAGTCCTTTAAGTACTTATTTTAGGCACCTGGAAACCGTGCAGCCGGATTTTTTTTTCCGTTGGGGCAACCGGGTCGTTTTGTTGAGGAGGGAAAACAGCGCTAGAAGAAACACAAGGTTAAGTTTCGGTCCCACAAAAGCTTCTTTTATGGTTTGCTTCGAATGCACGCCAAGGAAACATGTGACTTTGCGGTCATGTGATATATTTTCCAAGGTTGATAAGGTAGATGGGCGGCACCTCTAACTCGTAGCATCTGAACGAAATTATTGTTTTCTCTCTCTGTTAGAGCGAAGAGGGTAAGCAGTAATATGCTCGGTTACACCGTTCTATTACGGGAATAGTATTCCGTCCGTGCATGTAACATGTGAACTTCTTGCGACGAGGTGTGCGCCCACATCAATGCCAACATCACTCGAAACTTGTCAATGCGGGAGATCAGAGATCATGTCACCATTTTAACATCTCGCCAGTTCTATGCCTTTTTCCTCAAAATAATGAAGACGCTTGTTTTGCACCATGGGCATATCGGTGCATGTCTAGACTAACAACACGCTATAATAATTTATCCATGGGCTTGTGTTAGTTTGGCTGCATTTCCAATGTTGGAAGAACTCCGCCTGCGTTCACAGAATGAGAGTCCCAAGCTTAATGACGGTAACTGGTAACTTGTTCCCCCTCTGTGTGTTTGCGGAGGGGTTTCACTATTGAGTGTTGGCTCGGAGTTCCGTGCTCCTGAAATTTGTTTCGGCTCAATCTGGAGCTGCATGATATCATTGAGCTTGGGGCATTATTCTCTTAGTCAAAGGACTGCTTGTTATCTGATGGCTTCTGTTTTGATTGGTGTATTGCTCTCTTTCTTATTAAAAAAAAAAAAAAAAAAAAAAAAAAAAAAAAAAAAAAAACCAAGAAGGGCTGCCATATGTCCAAATTAATTTCATTGCCAGATTCGCCCTTTGCTCCAAGGAAACCCAGGTCGCATATTTTCAACCAGTAATGCCAACCCTTCGTTCAGATTCAACCAACCAGCTACCCACCCCACCACCTCCAGAGACATCCAAGTTAACTGTTGTCTTCCTCAGGTTAGGCGACACCAACACAGTCTCAGCATGGTTCTGGTAATCAACTTCACAAGGAACCAGCTTCCGCTGTGGAGCTGAGACAAACTCCGGGTCAGACATTTGTGTAACGAACGTCTTAATCTCGAGGCCCGGCAATAGTAGATGTCCCGGTCTCTGAGGAAGTAGCATGACGGTAAACGAGCGGCTCTCGCCCTCTTTGGCGGTGAAATTTCCCCGTCTGCGACCTCCAACTAGCCATATGTCTGGATTAACGAGGAGCTCGTACGAGAATTCTAGGCTAGATTCTGGCTCCCGGTTCTCTACGGGACACCATCGTCGTGTGTGGTATATTGTCAGGGTTGCCGGGATCATCTCGCCTACCGTGGCGTGGGTAAGGTTACTCGGTTTGGGAATGGAGAGGTTGGCGGTGTGCACGATTTGGATCTCGGGGACATCGACAGGGATGATTATCTGACGGTTGGGCACGGCAGTATTGATGTCAGGAAGGGGTAGTACGGGATGTTGCTATGGGGTATTTCATTAGGAACGATCATACGATTATTTATCAAGCAGTACGGGAGTCCCTTGTGAGGATGCATGGAAAACAAAACTTACCGCGTGCCATTCCTTGAGCCATGAGACAACCTCCTTTCCGAAGCTCCCGCCTAGTGAACTGGTCACAGAGTCCCACTGGACACGTTCGTATGATAACATCTCGACTTCCCGAATGAGGCTGATCGTTTCCAAGTCATTGGCAGACCATTGCGAGCGAAATGCATCAAGAAGACGAGGGGTCAATAGTCGGGCTATTTGCTGAAATTTACTTGAACCAATGTCCCGCATAAATTGGTCCTCGATGACGCCAAGGCATTCCTCATCGAGACAAGCAAAATCAATCGTCAGTGCAAGAGACCGTTTCGAGGTTTCCGTTTCCAGGGGTTTGTCTCTGCGCGGAATGATTTTGTACAGCAATGACGCGGGCTGTTTAGGGAAAACATCGAGCGTCTCCCAATGATAGATGCCGGATTCAACCTTGTATATGTCTGAGCTGGGAATTTCGCAGTTTAGAACCCGGAGAGGCGTCATCATGGCTGGACTAATTGTGAATCTCGACATTAACGAGTCATTTTTGAACATATCTTGAACATTGACGCTCAAAGGCAATGTTGAAATGATCGAGGTGGCAGAGAAGTAAGAAAATTGGCCATCTGGCGTATCATACACCACTTCCAAACGCGCAGACAAAGATGTTTGATCATCCTCGACGGTGTATGGAATACTCAATTTGGCCGATGAGTTTGGCCCAAAATCCGTAAAATCAATTTGCCCCAATTCTCCGTTCCCCGTTAATGTCACTGAGCCGTCTACAATGCTCGCATCTGTAATTCGGAGTCGTAGCCCAGCAGTCGCAGGTTTCACACGCAGATTACCCTTAAGTATATTATTCCAACCACTTTTTAGGGCAACTTCAATCGTTCGTAGTTCACCCAAATTGATATGATATGGAGGCGAAAGCTTTGCTTCAAGTCCCCTGGCCGGAGGGTAGCAAAAAACGAACGGGTGGTCATCTTCCTCACCGGATTCACCTGCACTAGGTTGCTGTAATCCTGCAGGCAAGGACGACGAGGGTGATCCATGATGCTGAACAAACAAGATATTTCCTACTCGTACCTCTATGCAATCGACTAGATACTTTCCATGGACTGAGACCTGAATATTTTGTATTTCGTAGAGATTAGACAAAATACATGAGAGGGAGAGGGACATCATGAACTTACGAAAGATTGGAGGGGGACCATTGACGTCGTTGACTTCAACACAACATCGCCCGAATTCTCCAACCATATTTCACTGCTATGGACATCTGCAGAGTTAACAAGTCGTAATTTCACGCTGTCAACGTTAATGCTATTGCCAAGCAGAAATCGAAGTGAAAGTTGTACCAGCATGCCATCCTTGTTTTTGAAGTGATGGATTGCCGGGCTAACCTCGATCCCACCAAAAAAGTCTTTAAGCGGGACAGACAATCCATTCAAAAGGCTGCGCGATGACTCGAATAGATCATTCACATAATTTGAAACCATGGTGCGAGCAGTTGGGGAAAAAGACAATAGGGGAGCAGAATTTATTCTCTTGCTTTGAAAATCCCTCGCCTTTTGCCCAGACTGTGCGACCCCAGCATAATTTCCAAGAAGCTTCAAAAGAATTCGAACGTAATCCCCTTTGCGACCCAGACACTTTAGACATCTTCCATACAACTCAAGCATTGCTCCTTCCAAAACGCCCCAGTGGCTACTAGAATAGAAAGGGGTCATTTGATGAAAATACGAGGCCGCTGTGGCATAGTCGCCTGCGCGGTACCTTATAACAGCAATGTCAGCCATTGCCATCTCAGCTGACCTTGTCCTATTTGCTGAGACGTAATAGCAAAAGATCTGATCAGTTAGTGCCTCGTAGATGAAATGGAAATTTTTTGCAGACTTGACGGCTGCCATTAGATGTGGATTCTCGATCCCACGTAGAAATGGTTTGGCTCTGGATTCCGCTGCTGTATAATTTTGGGAACCTTCTCCAGTTTCATCTAACGATATTTCCTTCAGACCAGTAACGGCATATTCAGTTTCGCTGTCATATAGTAAGCCCAGGTCCCGCCAGTTTTTAAACCAACCGTGCCGTCGTCCAAGGTTTTCAAGTGTACGCCTCGCATAGAGGAACAAGTTACCGCGGGAGGATGCAAATTCCAACTGTCCGGTCTTTTGTTGTATTGAACCATCTGGATTTAGGGAAGCCAACAGTGTTCTGTTTTGAGCACCATTATGTAATCCGGGAGATAAGTTTTCGAAGCTAGAAGGTTGACCTAATGTAAGGGTATTCGCACTCAGCGAACTTGACCGTTTAGGAACACCGGGTCGTGTACCTGCAACAAAGTTCGCAAGCACTGCCGTATTCATAAGGTCCCGTGTGTTTCGAAGCGAAGTTTTCGGCATCTCAATGGAGTCAGTTGCAGTTTGGATCAGCACCTGAGAAACAGCTGAATACGTCCAGGAATAGACGATGTTATTTATGACATCCGCGACTCTGGGTTCGTTGCGATCATGTTCCACATCCTCTAGAACGGCGTGCAAGTCGTGTCGTAGTGTTCGCGAGCCAATACTAATAAATTCGCTTGCCCGCTCGCATACTTCCGCAAGAAGGGTTAAATCTTTGGGCTCCTTTCCTGGTTTCCCCGTAACCTGGCTATCTGATAACCTACCTCTCCGTATCGAAGGAGCCCTTGCAGCCTTTAGCAGTAGCGTCAGTTGCCTGGAGAAAATGTAGACTCTAAAGTCGAAGACTGATATATTATTGGCAAGGATCATTTCACGGTAAGGCTTCTTGTTGGGATCAAGAGGAAAGTGATGTTCATCAAGGGCTATGTAAGAAGAGTAATCGTTTTCATCGCTTTGATGGATTTCGTCAACTTTTTTCACACGTGAATTTCTGTCGTCTTCTTCAGCATCATCCTCGCCATCCTCAGATATCAAACCCAAAGCTTTTTCTGCTTTCGCTTTGATATCGGAGGTGTAACTGAGAAAAGTACCACCATGTTGGTCTCCCTCAGCAACTATTTGATCACGAAGAGCCGCATCCAACCCAACAGCAAGCTCATCGTATCCAATTAGCGCATCTTCGTATAAACCAACATGCTCAAATCCACGCGCAAGTCCTTCTTTCAATATAAAGAACGTGCAGAAATTCCAGCCCGGCAGGCTTCTTTGGGAGTCCTTGAGTCGGATATCCTCCTCATATTGACTGACACGAGAATCAAAGGATGTTAAGATGGAAGATTTCAACTTCATATCTAAGTCCTCAAGTTGACCAGCGAGTTCGGCAGGCCGCTTATCCGATTCTGACTTCGGGATGCGGAGCTGCGCCACACGATCAACGGCTGATTTTGACGATCCGTTGAAATCAGCTTTGAATTTCTCAAGCACAGTGCTCGAACCTCTGCCGGGCCATTTCGACGCCGTCCCGGGTTTCTCTACAGTTTCCGCAGCGCCAGATACCACGTGTATGATAAGCCATTCAAACGCATTGTGATTGCCTTGAGAACCGAGCGTGCTGCCGCTACTTTGGGGAGGCGTGCCATGAGTTTTGATCCATTCCCGTACCTCTTTCCTGGTAGTGGTTTTGTACGTTTCATTGTCATCGCAAGACAAGATGTAGATTTTTAAATATGGCGTTTGGCGGAGGCCTGGTATCTGATGCCTACGGTGGGGAATTGTGCTGCTAACTGCATCGCTGAGTCGTTTGTGATCCTCCGATGTGGTTTGTGAAGGAACGAGATCGATATGGAGGGAGTCAATGGAGCGAAGAGGCCGATTAGGGGACTTCCAGTGCAGGTTTCTGAGGGGCAAGGTTTCGAGGATAAAGGGTTTGATTGAAGGGAAAAGTCCGGAAGGATCAGTGTATTCGACTAGAAGCTATGATTTCAGTGAGTTTGTTCAACTAGATTTTGGGGAGATAAAAGGGACCGCGAACCGGTGACATTAGAGCTCGCACGAGGGATGGCGTCCATGGCGTCCGAATCTCAAGTGCACGGAGGATGGTCATACGTATGTCCCCATCGCTCCCTGGAATTCTGACTGAGAGGATCTGAAGGCTTATATAATTTGTTGCTGCATGTTAGTTATGAGGACAGTGAACTTAAGGCTGTAGGCGACGTTTCGAAGGCGAGGTTCCAATTACCTTTCTTGGCGATTTACGCTGCCGCTTTAACGCATTCAAAGGCGGCTTTGAATCTGGTATAGTAAGTATTTTGCAAACGCAGAATTCTGGCTTGCTGACCGTTTCGAAGCTTTCATAGTCTTTAGGATATTTACAGGAAATCTATGGTCTTCCAATTGGCCTAGAAATACTGGTTCTGAAAGTTGAAATTAAATATCACTATACCTTTATCTAACCTAAATGTATACGAAAAAGTACCTGAAGAAAGCTCAACTTGCAGTTACGAGGAATGGGTCGTTTGCGAGGGAATAACGAGAGAGATATAGAAGCGACGAAAGTAATGGCGCCACACTTAACTAGTGGCCGAATTTGTTCTACCACACAAAAAGAGTTCAATGCTCTAGGAAATTGAACTTATCCAGTTAGAAAGACGTAAACAAGAAAATCGTACATTTCCTTAAAAGAAGAAGAGAGGAAGGGGGAAAAAAGAGTATGTATCAGAAGTATGGGAAGGAAAGCGAGGCAGAGACAGGTTAGGTGGGAACCGCAAGCGGTTCCACTACATATATAACCGATATCTCGCCTTGATAAACTGATAGCTCCGAGAAACACCGTTCCAAATGTCAGGAACGAGGTTTTGCAGCATTGCAATAGCAATAACAATGAGAAGAGGGATCTAAAAGAAATATTAGTCATTATGTGACGATATAATTTGTGTGATTTATCAATTAAGAGTATATTACTTACCCAAATGAAAAAGAGGTTTCTATCACTGCGAAGCCTCTTCATCTTACGAGCATGGGCCTGCCGTAGTTGTTCTTGTTGTTCACGAGGAATATTTGTTCGTCCGATCCGGACATCTCCAATGTCCTTCTGGGTCAAAACAGAGCTCGACGATGACACTTCGCCTTCCGAAAAGGCTTCGAAGTGTTGATCAACTGCTGCGTCCGCTGCAGCCTGAACCATTGACGATTTCTTGATGCCGTATTCCTCCTTCGTCTCCTCCGCCGGGTATAAATCTTCGTAAGCTGGTGGAGACGAGTTGCCAGTTAACCGGTCCCAGCTATCCTTTACCACTGTGGTCGACCATGAGGTAGTTGGCCGCTGTGGGACAAGAGACGTTATTCGTCGCATCATAGGATATGTTTGATAGTCTGGAAGGGTCGGCATCGGAGGAAGCGCAGGAAGGTTGGGGAATGTCCAGTTCACACTCTGTTGGAACTGGTGGATTTGAGCAGCAAGTTGGTCACGCCACGCCATGAGTCTAGCAGGAGTTGCATCGCTGCTTTCATCTGCACCTTCAACCTCCCCGTCATTTGGAGGTAGTACACCGCTGGGTGCGGCGGTAGGTTCATGAGAAAGTGGATAGTAGAAACCCTGGTTGAGCTCCCGGTTTACACTCGCTCGTCGGGACTGTGGGTAGTAGAAAGCAGGTTCAAGAGCCTCCCCTGAAGACTCTGGTTCGTCGCTTACTTCTTCGGAGTCGTCGGAGGAATCTTCCAGAAGAGTTTCAGAATCGCCGGATGAGGTTTCCCAAGACATGTCTAGTGATGCAGAGCTCAGTCGACGGCGCAAGGAAGGTGCTGAACCGACACTGCGCGATCTGTAATGTCGAGCAGGAACAAGGACGGCTTGATGGGCTTCTAGAGAGGTTGCAAGATCAGCCGGTGTGAAGCCGCGCAAATTCGTGGCGCCAATGTTAGCGCCAGACAAACGTAGACGATGGACAATGTGAGTATGCCCACTCAGAGCGGCTAGATGCAGTGGTGAGTTGCCATTGCTATCTTGCACATTTGGATTCGCACCCCGAGCAAGCAATCCAGCAACAAATCTAGTTAAGCCGAGAGAAGAGGCATAGTGGAGAAGCGTCTGTCCTGAAGGAGAACGACGATTGAACCGTGGAGACCTACGACTGTCATCCGAGTCCAAGGACTCAAGATAAACAAGCATCTTTGCATCCAAATCATTTATATTAGCGTGCGAGTTGGAATTCCCATGGCCTTGCTGTCCGTTGCCTTGGAAGCTGCCTTGAAGGTTCCACATACTACTCGACCCTCCACCCATAATTTGCTGGGCGGTCTGGAAAGCGTCAGTGGGATTCCTCAGTTTTTGGCCCAGTATGCTCAGGGCAACTCGATACATCTGGAGTTCTCGGTCGTCCACATAACGGAAAAATATCTGTTGTTTCGGCATGATTGGTTGGGTGGACGGCTGGGCCTGTCCAAATGTCGGATGCTCATGCTTGAACACAACGGGAACCGTACCAGGCTGCAAGGCAGGTGGAGTAAGGCAATTCAAACATTTATCTCCCCAAAATGTTGTCGTTGTTGCCAATGTATCGCCAAACACAACTTCCATTCCGGGGTAGAAACCGCTTCCTAGCAACGTTACTTCGCTTCCCCCTGTGGTAGAGCCCTCGGATGGGACAAGTTTGTGGATCATAGTAGGTAGTCGATTCGGTGGGCCGGGAGGGGGAATGCTCCACATTTGATTTGACACAGCAGGCCCGGCTGGTGGATTGCTAGGATTATGGAACTGATTGGCAGGCCCTGGACTTCCGGGCCGGCTCGTTTGGGCAGAACTTGGCGCAGATATCAAATTTTGCTGCTGAGGAATGTTACAGGTTTGAGGTCGCTCGCTGGGACTGAAAAATGACATATCATTGGCATTCGGGGTAGGTGGGCCAGTTGCAAATTGTGGTGTCATTGAAGAAGGTATCACAAAAGGTTGTTTGTTTTGCTCATTCAATTGTTGTACTCTAGATGGTTGAGTGCTTTGATTGTTTCCAGCGAGATTTACCGGGGTAGTTGGATTGCGGGAGTTTTCCATTTTTGTCATGGTTAACCCTGCAGGAAGCTTGCCTGAACCACTTTGTTTACGACGCTTGCTGGAGGGTCCTTGGAAATCGGTTGGAGAAGATTGTCTCGACAGATATCGCGTTGGGAATACTAAAAGAGCATTCGGTTGGGAATTTGGAGGTTTATTGGGGGGTTCTCGAGGACCATGAAACTGATTATGCCAGAGTGCTTGCAAATCTGTTGCAGAGTGGGACAAGCGGAAAGGAGGTTGGGCAACCAAAGAATTAGGGTTGGCGCTCGCAGAAAACACTCCTGCGCCAGGGAGCTGATGACCCCCCGGCAGGGTAGAATTAGCGGGAATAGAAATATTTGCAGACGAATGAGTTTTATGGTCATCAGTAATCATGATCGAGTTCGTTATCGCTTGAGAAATGGTGTTGTCGAGATGATCCTTGATTGTGAAAATAACCCTAGAGCTACCGTTCAGCAAGTGTCAGTGAGGTGTAGGAAAACAGTACGTACTGAAATCCGAGCTTCTCATTTTGATGTCTACAATAACAGGCGATCCGCATCGGAAGTTCGACCTGCATAGCGCCGGGAGGCGCAGCGGAAGAAGGGGATTCAGTACTCCCTGCAACAGTCCTGGTGGGCTCTACCCAATCTTTCAGTTCCGTTGTATTAAACACGATAACTCTTTTTTCTTCGTCCTTTTGAAATAATTCATCTTCCTCCGGTTTCCTCTGCTTTTTTCGTGATGCCCTCTTTCGTTCTCGCTGGATGCAGCCGGAACATATTTTAACATCCCCACCTTCGAGCGGGGTTTCCTCCTTTGGTTGGCCCTCGCACTGGGACTCCGGTTTTATGGGGGTAGCTTGACGTTCTTCACCTCGTGCTCTTGCATAAGCTCGTTCTAGCTTCTTTTTATCCTGCATAGCACTCGTGCAGACAACAGTTGTGCGAAGCTCAAGGATCTCCGCTGAGCGATCAGTACCCAATTTTGCGAGGAACTTTGGTTTCGAAATGGCATAGCTTGGAAGTCGCAGTTTTTTGACGCCATGAGGTAAAGGGCAGAGAGTAAGTTTAATTGGGATCTGAGTTTCCACCCGTGACTTTAAAGAGGTCGGGTGTACAATTAACCGTGGTTGACAATGGTTTTCCTCTCCAACGTTTATATGAACTGCGGCGTGAGCAGGACCACCAACGGGGAATTGAGGAATAGAAGGTTTTGCTACAGTGTCAAAGTTGACTGTGTGTAGTTCAAAATTTAAACTTGGTGAGAGGGTAGAACTCAGAGGGGAAGTGCCGTTCATGTTAATGCTTCCAAATGTCTCCTCTAACTCTGAAGCTGGGGAACGATGCTTCCACTGGCTGGAAGCAGGTCGATCTTTGGCGTGAAATAACGAAGTTTTGGGCGCATCCGACAATCTACCGAAGTAAAAACAGCCGGTTGACACAGGAAAATGCTGTTGGGCGAGATATTAAAATCTTGGATAAATGCCAACAAAAGGGAAATTGGATTTGGACTTACGGGTGATGGCGAACTAGATTCCAGAACTTGATGTATTGTACTTGATGGGACTCTAATCCCTTTTCCGGTTTGTAGGGGCTTGACGTTGGACTCAGAGGTTGCTTCCATCTTGAGAGGGCTGGGACTGCTTGCAGCACTATCAAAATCGAAGGCGGAGTTCATAGCTTTGTTGCTGGTCTCCAGGTCGCTGTCTAGGCTATAGTCGCCATTAAAGGAAGGATCACCATTACTTTGCCCAAATAAAGGCGAATCTCGCACCGTGAGGTCGTCCAATCCCGGCCACCATGGGGTAGAAAACGTCTCTCCTGCCGTGCTATTCTGACTAAAAACTACAGAGTTATTAGAAGCCAAAGAACCCTTTCGTAGATGTCCAGGCGGAGAATCGGCTGAGGAGCTATGACTCGAATCTCCAGGAGAATCTGAACGAGTGTCGGATAAAGGAGAATTTGTTTCCGCAAAATTTGCTGAGGGATGCTGGTGACCGGCTTTCACCAACATTGCTGGTGACAAACATGAGGTCGAATTGGGGGTTTGAGTGACAGTAGAAGGCCGCAAGAAGAGATCTTCAAAGTCCTGGGTGCCACCTGACGTCGACGACTCGAGCACAGCTGGGTCAAAACATTTCATATCCCCATCACCGTAGGTGTTCTCCATGTCGCCGTCAACAATGATCGGTTCAAGGTGAGGAAATACAGGTGATGAGGGATTGCTGGGCGGCCACATTGCACTTTGGCGGTTCTTTGGAAGTGACAACTGTAGATAAGACAGCGAGGCTCGGGTTAGAGATGTAAATTCGGATGGGATATCAAGAAAATCATAGGCTCAGAGGTTCGGGGATGTTGGGTGAGCTGAAAGAGATAAAGAATGCTGACTAGGGCGTGAGCGAGCCTCTCTGCGCAATAACTATGGGATAAACTCGTAGCCACACTCTTTTGCACGAACAGAAATGAAGAAGAAACACCTCGCAGAACGATGTCAATAGCGGCAAAGGTGATGGCGATGAACGAGAAGTTAGTAGATATGGATACACAGAAGTTTCAACGGCAGCGAAATGACAACCACACCATCAATGAGGCAGAGCCGTGGCGGCTATTGCGACTCTTCACAGCTTACGAAAATGTCCGATCCAGCAGTGCCCCAACCAATGCCATGAATGCGTGCGAAAGATGAGAAGAACGAGTCCAGCTAGAACAGGGATGGGGGATGGACGTGAGTGAGGAGGAAAGAGACGTTCAGTTCGTTTGTCGTGAGCTTATGCGAGTTGAGATGAAAGAGGTGGGCGCTAGTCCTGATTGGAAGCAACCTTGGAAACCTTGGAAACCTCGGAGGCTGTGGCACAGTATGAAATAACTCAACTGGATAAGGACTGACAAGGAAGAAACATTTTTGATTCTCAGTCAGCAAACAATATGGTTCCTATATATGTATGACATGTCTATGGTGTCTAGCTGTTGCTTGGTTAGGCTCTGGTTCTTTTTGTGCCTTAGCTACATATAACTATGAGGAGTTACACTGTGCTTGACCACAGATATAGGGGCAGAAAAACTGACTGATTTAGCACCATATCAAGATGCAACAGTTAACTATTCGTGTATTAATTAACTAGTGCCTGCCAGGTAATAGTTAATTATTTCGAACATTGCCAGTTAACTAGTTATATAATCACTACATCATGACCCTTCAAATCACAGGACCGCAATATCTGTTCAGCCCAAAAACGGGAAATTCGAAACGAAAATTTGGCCACAGAAGAAAGTCGAATAGCTAACTATTTCACTTCAGCGGAATCCGTCTGCCTAGACAGTTACTCATGATTTGCAGTCCCATTTAGTACTGGCTGCCTACGCAATAGACCCGAAGAGACACTGCTTTTAACCTACCTGACACCTCCATATGCGGGCGGAACCCACAGTTAGCCGAGGCTGTAGATTCTGGGGAAGCTCTTCAATAATTAGTTATGGGCCCCAGCTTGGCCTCGAAAAAATTCAACCTGATCTGGACTGCGCTTCGCCTGACTGGAGAGTGAAGCAGTGGAAAATCTCAGGTTTTGTTAGATCTTCGTCCTATGAGGGATGCGCCAAAGAATATTAAACTCTGGGACGTAACTGTGAATGAGCCCATGCTTGTTTTATGTGGGGACCATATCTGCAATGCCATGTTGGTCACGAAATCACAGTTTGCACAAGCTCAAGGCTAGGTATATTTTTGCCGAGATACGAATGATTCACCATATGCGGCTTGTTCCATATTCAAATCGTGTATTGTCAAGACGATGGCATGGATGCCAGGTTCCAAGGCTCCGTCGTTATCGGTTCCCTCCGAAAAGGATTTGCTACCCTAGTGCAGTGGTTATTAAGGATTGCGCTGATGCCTCTAACATTGTCAGTGTGTGGAGTATTAAAATCTATACATCTGTCAAAACTGCGCACCTGAACAGGTTTGCCCCAGGTGAACCATCAAACGATTATTATTCCTGGCAGGATATCAGGTAAAGCGGGTTGATCGCTGCGTGATCGTCTCTACCATAGTGATCCCGCCCAAATATGTGCCTAAACTTCGACCGTTTTCGACGACCTATGCATGATGGACAGGTTCCATGACATGGTCCTGCCCGATTCCTTCTTGAGACTCCGTTTGGCCGAACCGCCGTTGTTGGCGCGGTGCGATCTTTTTGGACTCATCCCTCTTGCTCCGAACACTAGTTGGACAGAGGCGTGGAAACATTTGAGTTACCAGTGGACGCAAGGTGGGAAGAGAGAATATATATTATTGCAACATTGCATTCGATGGCTAACCAAGAGGCCGCTACGGCAATATCCACTGGGAGGTGTTCAACTCAGCTGAAATGGAAATGTAAAGTATCTTACTAGATTTGACTCTTCCCCTCGCAACCTGATGTGCACTCTTCAGACAAAAGCCACTCGTGACACCAAAACTGAACGAAGAACTTTTATTATTAGAGTGAGGGGAAACTCTGCGGTGACTTAAAGGGAAGGATACTCCATAATTCCCCAACAGTGCAAAGAAGCACGAGAGCTACTATCTGCTTTATAGCTCAGGGTGGAAAGAATCGGCATCGGCATCGTAAGCAGAACCACACTTGTAACGATTTGCACCATCGCCGTGATTAACCACAGTGCGTCCAATTTCGTACATCTGGCCCTGAAAGTATTACCCCGGAACCCTTTCACCGGGATACGCGTGAGAAATGATGCCGGAAGTGCCCGTAGGGCGTATAATGCTATGAAAATGAAGGCGCCATAGAATGCTATACGCATTGAATTGGTTGGGAAGTGTCAGTGGCACAGTAAGTTGATCGAAACTGTGGTGCAAAAGAGGCTGGAGTTATAACTATGGAGATAACCACAGAGCCAAAGGAGCTGCCAAACTGAAATTGGTTACCTCAAATGAACAAGATAACAGAATTGTCATTTCTAGATAAGTTGTCACTTCAAGGTCTCTGACAGGAGCTTGACATTATGGTCACCTAGCCCAGTTTTCCACTCTGTTTCTTGTTAGCTGTTTTTCACCTCATTCTGATAACTTACTCCAAAATCAGTCCTCACTTAATAGAGTTTCAAAACTCACCAGCAATGAACAATTGCATGAACACAATGGAGAGTAACTAACTAGTTATTCAGTAGTGCTAGTTAGCAAATTTAGCAGGTCACTCAACCTGTAGTTAATGTAATTCCCAGGTGAGGCGAGCACTCAACTGAATTGAACACTTAATTCAACTAACTAGATTTTAACAAACATCATCTACATTAAACAAGACTAATTAAATTAAATTAAATTAAATTAAATTACACTAGGTTCAGAACATCTTATTCTTGTATGTCTGAGAGAACCACGCACAATGATGGAACTCGTGTGTGTGACATAGATTCAAGGAGTGGAGGCTCACGAGGTTGAATGACAGTCTGTTCAACAGATTTGAAAAGGAAGAGAAATAAGATTCCGAGTCTCCTTCCAGTTAAACTGCCTTCAAATTGAACTTTGTGTGTAGACAGACCTCTTGCATTTTGCTTCTCTTTCTCATTCACTGCAAATACACTTTGTTATTACTTAATAGTAGTAATGCTTAAACTTGCGAACTTTGATAATTTAATCAATTCTTTTACTAATCTTTGAGAAGAAATCTCATTTTATAAAACTTTAATTTTATTTATTTGCTTATATACAAATAATACAAATTGCTAAATATTTTTAAAGTTCAAAATAGTTAAAAGTTATTATAATAATTATTAAAAAATTAAATATTAACTTTATATAATTATTGATAATTTAATTATTAAAATTAATATTTTTAAAATTAAACTTTTATTATTATTATTAATATTATTAATTTAAAATATAGTTAAATTTTAGCATAATTAAATAAATATTATATAAATTTAATATATATAAATTAAAATTTATAGTTAAAATTTTTATTTTAAAATATTATTTAATTTTTAAAAATAATATATAAAAATAAAATTTACTTTATTATATTAATTATTTTAAATATTATAATTTATATATAATTTTTAAACTATAATAATTTTATAATAATTTATATTAATATTAATTTTATTATTAATTTAATTTTATTAAAATTAAATATATATTTTAAAAATATATATAATATTTATTAAATATTATTTAAAAAAATATTTTTTAAAATTAAAATAATTTTTATAAATTTATTTAAATTTATTATTAAATTAATTAAATATTTCTAAATAATAATATAATATATTATTTTTTAACTTTATTAATTTAAATTTAAAAAAATTTAATTATATTTATAAATTTTTTATTTTATTATATATTTAATTTATAAATATTTTTTATAAAGTTAAATTTATAATTTAATTAAATAGATATTATAATAATTTAATTATATATATTTTAAATAAATAATAATAATAATAAAAAAAATTATAAACTTTATAAAATTTTTAAAAATTACTTTATATAATATATATTTATAGATATTCTTAAAAGTTAATAATAATTTTTAATATTAAATTAATAAAAAATAAAAACTTTATAATAAATAATAAAAAAATTTAAAGTTAATTAATATATTTTTAAAATTATTAAATAATTATAAAATATCTTTATTTTAATAATTTATATTTAAATTAAACTTTAATATTAAATATATATAAAATAATTATAATTATATATTATTATATAAATATTTTTAATAAATTTTAAAAATTAAAAGATTATAATTTATTAAAATTATAATTA